GACATCGATCTTTTGACGTCGTCCCTTAGCAATGAAACAGTGTTTAGACATCAAGGATGATACACTTCCTGTCTCTAAAACAATGACAATCATGATTAGCGATGAAACATTGTTTAGACAACATCGATGATACACTTCCTGTCTCTAAAACAATGACAATCATGATTAGCGATGAAACATTGTTTAGACAACATCGATGATACACTTCCTGTCTCTAAAACAATGACAATCATGATTAGCGATGAAACACTGTTTAGACATCAAGGATGATACACTTCCTGTCTCTAAAACAATGACAATCATGATTAGCGATGAAACACTGTTTAGACATCAAGGGTGGTGAATTTTCTGTCTCTAAAACAATGACAATACTGATGGTAACATTCCACTCATTAATTTCCAAAAGATGAGACCATTTTACATTAACAGACCTTCATATAATTTTGGTCACATCAACAGGTAGGAACTGTTTTGACACCAAATTATTGAATTTGAAACTTTTTACTTTGCTTGATTACCGTGATTTCATCACATTCTAAGTCTAGCCTCTCAATTGCACAGCTTGAAATGCTAAGAAAATTTATAGATAAAGAAAAGAAAGCAACAAATAAAATTGTCTAACACATACTAATGTAAATATTACTAAATTCATTTTCAGATATTTATAAATTTGAAAAAAAAATCTTAGTTTACCAAATTTACCAAAGACAGAAAGACATAGCAAGTAATAACGAAATGTGGCTTGACTTAATTATCCGAGAAAAAATGCGATAAAAGTAACTAAATTACAAAGATCTCAAACAACTAACAATTATGTAATCTGTCCGACCAACTGGACAATGACATCGATGCCACAAAGTTTCATAAAAAGTTGCTAAAGTGCATTGCATTTGTTGTTTTGTTGCGTCATGAAGTGTATGATGAACACGTAAACTAAATATTGTCAATGCAAAAATCATCAAAACGTTACCGTATGTTTTCTCGCACGAACTGAAACTTGGATTTCAGATTTAGCGACCTTGAAAAGTGTGACTATGAAAAATCTTACCTAGTTAGAAAGCTCGCTCAGTAGAAGTCCGTCTAAATAGCAACTGAAACCGATCAGCCTCTTCCCCCAGAATGCCGTAGTGTGTGTCATGTGACTATGGGTCACCTGATTTTAAAATAAGAACGCAAGCAAGCGAGACCGTCCGATAACTGGGGCTGTTTGATAATTGGGCCAGGGAGTGGTTTAGCTGGAGAACCATTAGCGCTCAGAGAACAATAAAAAGATATGACATTAGCGTGAACGGCTGGCTGTACCACAGTCAGTTGGCGTACATGTGATAATAAAATAAATGCGGTCAATTTGAACACATTTCACTACTGTAAATCATGTTTAAAGCGCAGTGGTCGTCGCGCAGCGCGTGTTCGAATTGCATGTAAATAAACAATGTTTCTTACACGCGTTGTATACGTCGCTATGAGTCCCATATCGAACAGGACGCGGCACGACGGCTGCCGCCCTTTTAATAGCTACATGCCATTTTAGCGAATTTGACTCCATGCATGAATTAACTGAATCTTAATTTAGCTAAAGTGCCAACAATTTCATTGTGAGAATATACTTTATTTTAAATTAGTGACATTTTGAATTAGCGAAATTACAGATTAGCTAAATTGGCTGTACCACAGTCAGTTGGCGTAAACATGATAATAAAATAAATGCGGACAATTTGCCGACATTTTACTATATGGGGCAGCCATCTTGAATACGACTTGTACGTGCACGCCAGTTGACTGGGGTATACGATGTGAAATCAACATTACAGCTGTAATATAACAAAATAAATTCAAGACGTCTCTCTGTAAACCGGTTCGTGAACAGACCGTATTTTTTTCTATGATTCAGATATTAAATTACACACAAACAAATTATTAAATCTTTATTGCTGGATATGCAGTAGAAAAGTTCGTACATCCCATATTTAGAAAATATAAATGATGTATGTAGCAGCATGGATAGCAGACAATGCCTGAGAACACGAGAAGCGAGTGTGGTCAAGCAGTTGATCCACTAAAAATAGAACCTGACGTACACATAGAAAACGTCGAGCTGATTTCTAGACGTTTCGCACTCGGTCGCTTTTGGCCCTGGTAAATAATGTCTTCACTGCCCTGGTTTTGGAAGTTACTACACTGGTATAAATGATATTCAAAGTACTGTTTAGATCATGGAAGGTACTAATCTTCCATGTTTAGATCTAGTATAATATATGAAATGTACAACAACATATATATTGCCTTATTCTTCATATTTTTCCTTTCTTTTGTAGGACATTTTTCAGAGTTCATGGAAAGAATGCAACAAATTAACACTTAAATTTAGCACAATGCAACGGCCCCTTCCTCTCGAGCGGCTCGGTGTTCAAAGACATACAACAATTGAAATGGTTAACTGATTTTTTTATTAGGCAACATCTGCTGCCCAATAACAGTTCATTGTTTGTAATTTAAAACACGTGAACTCAATCATCCATTCTTGCTGGCATCTTGAGTGACACAAAACTAATTCGCCAAGTAGGGAAACGCATTCCAACAACTTACGCAAAGAAAAAAAAACACGCTAAAACTATTACTGTGAAACCGTTTATTTTCACTGGCATAATTCAATTACTTTTAACACATTATTGAGGGTATTAAGTTCACAAACGTTAATTTGGCGAATGAACCGACTACCAGTCCACATAAATTGCTACATTGAAACATTCTGACTAACGTTCTTAATTTATTCGCGGCAACTCATCAAGGAAACACATTCCAACAAACCACAAATATGCTACACTGATATTGTTTAAATAAAAAAAAAAAAGCTGTCTGATTGTTAATATGACGACTAAGATCATTTCGAATTATATTTATCCGCAACAGTGACGTCGAAATTACGATTGCTGTGATTGGCTGGACAGGTTTCCGCCATTTTGAATTTCTAAATGTTGTTTAATTATGTATAAATTAAGCGTAAACAACATACATGGTAATCCATAATGAGTGTATGGTAAATTCTATATTGCTTAAGGGTAGTTTTCACAATATCCTAAATTATTAAATTAAATTATTTCTTGTGACTGTTTGATGTGTATTTTGATAAATTTTCAATTCAAAATTGACTGCCAAGGTAAGATTTAACACTATGGGGTAATCAGAAAAAATGTTTTCATGGCAACAAGTTCGAATGCATCTTATTTTTATTTATTGTTTTGCTCTTTGTTTTTGTTCAGCAAAATATAAAGAATTTGCAGTGTTTCTAAATTGTGAGTTAGATACGAGCATCATTAATATTCGTTGCTCATTGTGTTATAACTAGAGTTTATGTTCGTCATTTTAACTCCGTCTACAGTAGAAAAAACAACAACACTGATATGTATCACCATGCAATCAAAAACAAAATTACAAAGATCCAGTTTAATTGTTTTTTTTTACTGATACTCCAATAAAACTGTTCTGTCTGCCAACGTAAACTGCTACATTCTTGTTCGTCTGCTAAATCTTCGGACTTTCGAGTTCCCAATGGCTGCTTATTTGCATAATCATTTAAAGGTTTGAGCGCGTGCGGGCGCGTTGCGAGTAGTTTTGTTTTTGAACACAGTATGACATTTCTTTGGGTACGCAGGAAATGTCATATTAAACATGGTCATACATGATTCCTAGAGGGCGGTCCCCGCATACCGCGGTGGCTCGTGAGTAATTGGGCAGAGTTTCGCCAGTCTACGCGTTGCGGGACGCGTTGCCACGTAGCATTTAGCAGCTTTGTGTTCTACACTCCTTTCATTCAGTTTTATTTCCAAGGTAGCTATTAAGCAGAGTATTTTCGAAGTTTAAATAACAGCATTATTTGTTTATTGCAGTAAGCATACTCGTAGATGCATAACTTTAAAACCCGCCACCATCCCTCAGGTGCATTCGAGCATGTGACGGGTACAGATTTCCAGAGGTTTTTAGTCCCGTCATTATTCGTGTTTTATTTATGTTTTTTTTTTTTCTGCACGGCTTATGTGCCGCTTACAGGGATCGCAGTTTTTACTATTCTATGTACGATCGTTACGAGTTTTCAAATTCTTTTATCTACTATATATAGTTACTCCACAGATTTGTTAATACTAGTAAATCTTGAGATCCGTGTGCTCATGGCAACGGCATTACACTCTTATTACCAGTGTGTGCGTGGTGTTATGGTGTGCCAGTGTAGCAAAGTGTAAGCAATGTGTTTTTGAATTATGTGTGCATGTCATATATTTATTTGATTTGCTACAATGTATATGTACACACTGTTCTCTGTAAATTTTCTACTGTAATAAATACATTGCTGATATCCTCAGGTTCGCGTTTGCGGCTATCGTCAGTGCCGTTGTAAATACAAATGAAAACATAGCCATTCATAGGTGGAAAGTCACAGTAGGTAACGTCTGTACTTTGAAGTCGGGGATACTTGGCAGATTGTTTTTTTTTTTTTTTTTTGAATGTCTGAATCCATTATAATCTGTGTCGTCATTTGATCTCTGACCCTAGTCACACGAATGTAAATGTGACCTATATATCTGCATGACCTATATATCATCATGACCCGGAGGTGTATTAAGTAGTGTATTATTAGCTTCACCAAAGTGTACGAAAAGTGCCAAGGCAGCTATTTTAATATCAAATTCATAGTCACCATCAACTTGGAAAACTTAGACATTTTTCAATATGTAGTACATTTAGCCAAAATAAAACAAATCGCAGTAATTCCAAAACTTCTGAACCAGTTCGCGCGAGATCCTGTTCGAAATTGTGATGTTGATGCATGTTGAACCGGATCATGGAACAAAAGCATGTGCATGTCCGATAAGATGCATTTGTGCAGGCGAGTAGTTTCAACTCGAACTGAACGGTGCAGGCAAAGAGGCGGCTGTACGAAATTCTGCATTGAGGGGGAGGGGGATATTCTCAGTGGACGGACGTTTCGGCCAAGAGTTTCGACCATGGCGGACGTTTCGGCCCAAGTAGAGGTCAATGGTAAGATGATCTTAGAAACGTAATAGACTATATATTTAATATTTCTGTAAACAACTGTATGACGACATCACTTAATAAACTATTGTATTAAATATTCCTAGTAGCATTTTTGAACAATGTTTTTAAATAGTTTTATTACTTTCTAGTATGAAAAATGACCGGGGGATAAATATTTTAGTTCTCTTAAATTAGAACTTCAATTCTAAACACATCACACATACTAGTATACAGGTAATGCAATTATCAGGTATAACTAAATCATATGACACTTAAATACATGTACTTGTATTTGTACTTAAATTAAAACCAAGTAAATATATACAATTAAAAAAAACTATGGATATATAAATGCTCATGTAAAATGGCACTTCACTCAATGTGTCTCGTCTACTGGCCAAAAAATCATTATTTTCCCCTCCAGAATAAACCGAATATTTTAAACAAACATATACTGCCAAAACTTATTGTTATGATATCAACACATATAAGATAGGTGTGGATTTCACAATGAAATAAAATCAATAGGTCCTCTTATACCCATTACGTACATTAACAATGATAACAGTGGTAAAACATTGCTTTCTTACATGTTACCACCACTGTTTACTTGATCAGGTTGGGAGATATTTCTGTATGGCTTCACTAATGTCGGCAACATTTCTTGTAACGCTAATTTCAAATACTAGTACTGAAGATCGTTTAGAAGAGAATCACGGGCCAAAACGTCCGTCCTGGTCGTAACTCTTGGCCGAAACGTCCGGCATTCAATCTGCTCAACCACTCCTTGCGCAATTGCTCACGCATTTTTTTTCGGGAGGGGGGCGACTGCCGCCCCAATGCCGCCGCCGCTAATGGGGCATGTCAGATATATGAATCCGGGACTGCATACGCCTTGTCCGGTCACCCAAACCATTATCGTAAATTCGCGTACAATCCTGTGCATTATACGTCACATTGCCGATACGATTCATAATGTAACAGCTCCAAAGTCGTGACCCAATGTTTGTTTTGCGAACACAATTGAAAACGAAAAAGAATTTTCTTCGGAGTTTTTTTTTCTGGTATTTCACCGAGATTAATCAACGTAGGACCGTCAAGACCAGATGGCATGATTTTGAATCGACACCCTTGTGCCCGGCCATATTGACGACTTTACCGACACTACTCGAATGAAAGAAATAAACGAACGCAAAGAAAACAACATAGTTGCAACAGGTGGTTATGTGTTTTGGTAACATATTGCAAATATTCCGTTCTTAACCGATCACGCCGTGTGATAAGCCAGACAAAGAAAGGGTCTCGTAAATTATGTGTCAATCACCCCCAAGGCCTCGTCTTCTCCTTTTATGACACACAGTCTACCAAACACGTTCACTTACGAATCACTATCTGTTACGTAAACGTTTGTCTCTACATTACCCAACAACCAGATAATTACACAAAAATGAACAAAAAATAACAAGAAGATACAACTAATTTGTCCTGGTGTTTACTAGTATTTTACACGTACATTGTATATACATATAGCTTTGAACACAATGCGGTGTAAATGAGCTGTAGGTCACACCATATCCCTTAGAAAGACCTCATACGCACACATACGCAAACAAGTATCCATTACATCCGGGTGGGCAGAACATCGTATCCTGGTATTGCAGTGGTTGAATTAATAACCATATGCCTACTCAAGTTGGTCAATTCGCAAATCTGATATCTGTCACCATGGCAGCTGTAAAAATTGTCATGTAAAGATAGAGTTAGCCGGACGTTATTATACACATAGTAGCCATATAAACTACACTGCTAGATCGTTATGCTTACACAAGCCATGCACACGTGCTGTCCGTTGATGCATGTACCGCCAATCATTAAATTAACCGTCTTGCGCCTGTTTTTTAAGTTACCGTCTATAAATGTCTGAGCTATAAAGAAATGACCATTCTCAAAATTCTTATGTCAAGGGCAATTCTTTCTGAAAATAAGAATCAACCTATAAATTGCTGTTTCCGTGACAACAAGATCAACATATTTACAAGCATTCAATGGTGCTGACAATTTTAAAACAACTAAAACGTTTTGTGTTATCCTGCTTTCAAACAAACACACCAACTAACAAATGTATGCATACACAAACATAACCTGTTTGGTGGAGGGTTATTATAATAAACATGTGAGTCATATGAGTTTTTAAGATTGTCATTTCCAGGTGCACGAAGAGTTGAGGGCATCAAACACGAGGCTAAATAAGGCTTTCTGTATTGTGACTCTTCCGTAATAACATGCAATTGTACCATGAAGTATTACATTAATTCTATAGTTTGTTTTTTTTTTGTCAAAAATATACTTACAAATAAGTTAAATTATGAAAATGGTTGCAAGAAATCGGCCACAAACTGATACCAAATGCAAACGAATATTCCATGTTGAAATCATTCTCACACTGAATAAATAGATTGAAAATCGCAATGGGCACAACACTTCATTGAGAATTTGGAAACTAACAGGAATCTAAAAAGAAACACGGTTTGATGATGAGAAAGTGATTATTCAAAGCAAGCAATCCACATTCAGATACCACAATCGCATTGTACAACTTTGGGGTTTCATATTTCGGTCTGGAAAACTATGGCGAAGCATATGAGTA